GCTGCCTTAACTCCTTTAGATTGGGTAATTTGCAAACAGAAACTTAGTGTTTACAGTTCTGGAGGCTGGGAGGCCCAAGAAGCCCGCACCCTCGGTGTCTGGGACATAGGAGGCAATCGGGCTCCATCAACCTCTGATATCCCACTGGTGATGGCAGAACCTCGGGGCCTCAGCATCTCCCAAGGCCCACAGCTCCTAACACTACCGCCTTGGTGACTGGAGGCGTGTGGTGACGTGCGCTCTCAGAGCATACCACGCCTGAAATCATGACATGTTTGTCTGGCTTTCTTCCTCTTTTTCCCCCCTTTTCTTTTTGTGCTGGTACTGGGGCGTGAACTGAGGGCCCAGGCACTGGCCCGGAGCTTTTTCACTCAACACTAGCCCTTTACCTCCTGATCTGAGCCACAGCTCCACTTCTGGCTTTTTGCTGGTTAAAGATAAGAATCTCATGGACTTTCCTGCCTGGGCTGGCTTTGAACCTCCATCCTCAGATCTCAGCCTCCTGAGTAGCTAGGGTTATAGGCATGAGCCACCATGTTCCCGGCTCAAATAACCCTTTCCTCTTGGTCTCCAGTACTTGTCACACCGGGCTTCAGTTGAGTAGCAAAGGCCTTGTACACTCTGATCCCCAAGAACTGCTGAACAATCTCATCCTGAGACACAAGACACTGCCTGACCATTGCCCATGTGCCGTACCTCTGTGTGATCTGCCCACCTGCGTGTCAGGACACAGGTTCTGCTCTGGCTTCTGGCCCCACAGACAGTTGAACTGAGCCCTTCAGCTTGGAAAGGGGCAGGGGTGGGTGGGGGAACAACAGGAAGTCCCATCTTTCCTAGCCAGGATGGCTTTTCCCCAGGCATGGGGAGGGCATGTGCTGCTGCCTCAGCAGGAAGTCACCTGCGTTTGCTTCCTTCCTGGCCAGGGCCTGCCCCATGGCTTCAGAAGCCACATCATGGGGTCTATCCCATACAGCTGCCTCTTCAACTCTGTGCCCTGCAGTAACCCCTCCCAAGCAGCAGAGAGGCTTTTCCACATGGCTTCCTGCCTTGTCCCCCTGCCAAAGCTCCTGCTGCCTGCACACGAAGGTCCGAATCCTGGCTGCCCACCCGCTCACATGGAAGTTTCCAGCCATGTTCAGTCCCTTGCACTTCCCCAAACAACCCAGGCAGTCTCGTGATGTTGACCTTTCCTCACGTGATTTCTCCCACCTGGAAAGTTCTTACTGGATAGTTAGTTGGAAAACTCCTCTTCAACCTTCAAAACCTAATTTTTAAAATTGTTAATATAAAGGTGATATACAGAGAGGTTACAGTTATATAAGTCAAATAATGAATGCATTTCTTTTTGGACAATGTCACCCCTTCCCTTGCTCTCTCCCTATTTTTCCCTCCCTTCCCCATCCACAGGTTGGATAGTTCATTTTCAACACAGTATCCTTTGTCCCTCCCTTTCTGTGCCCCCCTTACCCTCCCCTAAGAGACAGATAAATAAGACAAAAAAGAAAAGGAAACAAAAACAGCAACAAAGAAAAAAACTCTTTTTTTCCATTTCCTGGAGTTCACTTTGGTAAGTGTTATTTTACATGATCAGACGCACATAGGTAGGAACCTAATTTAAGAGCAGGAGTTGGTAAACATTCTTCCTGCAAATGACTAGGATTGTAGAAATATTTCAGGCTTTGCATATCAAACAGCTAGTGTCAAGACTATTCAACTGTGCCATTGTCGAAAGGATGAAAACATAAATAGCTGGTATTAAAAAAACAGCAACAACAAACCCACTTCATTTGCAAGTCATGTATGGTAGTACATAGCCATAATCCCAGCTATTCCAAAGGTGGAGGTGGAAGGAGAGAGCTTAATGTCTGTCTGGGAAAAGTTACAAAGACTTTTTCTCAAAACAAACGAACAAACATATAAAAGTGTGTGAGGCTCAAGTAAAGCCCTTGCTTAATAAGTGTGAGGCCCTGGGTTCAATTCTCAGTAGGGGCAGGGGGATGAACCATATTGTTCCTCCTCTTCTTCTTCTTCCTCCTCCTCCTCCTCCTCCTCTTCCTCATTTTTAATGCCCTCATATCTTTTTGCTTTAGTTCAATTTTCAATAAGATCTTCCTCATTCTCCTCATACCTCTGCCTCCTGAGAACCTGGATTACAGATGTGTATCACTATGCCCGGCTTGGAATGATTCCCTTGCTATGATAATTAAATGGAAAGGTGGTTGTACCACAGTCTCTCTTCTGTGCGACCCTCCTCCCTGGCTTCTGCCCTCTGCCTAGCCCTTACCATCTGCTCTCACAGAACGAACATGTTCTGATTACCCAATATATACGCCTTTGCTAGGAAGCCTTCCATGGCTCCCTAGTACCCTGGGAGTGAAAGTCAAACAGATCTTAAAACAGTCCACAATATCTTATACTCTCTCCCTTCTCCTCATTCCTGTAGCCCCATGGCCTAGTACATCCTTACTTTCTCACTCTGCTCCAGCCTTAGTACCCCTTGCTTTTCCTGAGATAAAACAGGTCTGTGTTCTTGTGCTGTGTCCCCGGGCATCACTGGTCTCCAGCTTGTCCTTCTGGCTCCCTCCTTTGGCTCTGTCATGTCTTTATCTAAACGGCCCCCTCTTCGGTCCACTCTAAACCTGCAGCGACTAGAGGTGTGTAGTTCAGGGGTAGGATACTTTCATAGTATGTGTGAGGCTGTGGGTTCAGTCCCCAGCACCACAACAAATAAAATCTAGCCAGGCACCAGTGGCTGAGCTCTGAGGATCATGTACAAAAATGGCAACCCTTCCCTGAGTCTCATCCCTGCTTCTGTTCCACAGTATCTATCACCCTCTAATTCTCTACATTCACGACAATGGTGAAATACACAGCCATTCACATACAGCCCCAAAACTCTGATAAGATGGTCCTGATGGGTGCCAGTGGCTCATGTCTATAAACCTATCTACTCAGGAGGCTGAGATCTGAGGATCAGCGTTCAAAGCCAGCCTGGGAAAGAAAGTCTGGGAGATTCCTCTCCAATTAACCACCAGACAAAACAGAAATGGTGCTATGGTTCAAAGTGGTAGAGCTCTGGCCTTGAGCAAAAAAGTTCAGGGACAGTGCTCAGGCTCTGAGTTCAAGCCCTATGACTGACAAAAACAAACAAGGAAAGAAGATGGTCCCAGGATGCCTCATCGGAAGTGTTTAAGACAAAAATCCACTCTGTGTGTGTGTGTGTGTGTGTGTGTGTGTGTGTTTTGTGCTGGTACTGGGGCTTGAACTCAGGGCCTGGGTGCTGTCCTTGAGCTTTTCTGTTTAAAGCTAGTGCTCTACCACTTTGAGCCACAGCTCCACTTCTGGTTTCCTGGTAGTTAATTGGAGATAAGAGTCTCATAGACTTTTCTGCCCAGACTGGCTTGAACCATGATCCTCAGATCTCCTGAGTAGCTAGGATTATAGATGTGAGGCACTGGTGTTCAGATCCTTTCCTTTTCTTGCCCCTTTCCCTTTCTCTTGGTTCCCTTTCAGTTTCCCTTTCCCTTCCCCATCCTTCCCTTTTTTATTATTATTACTTTTGAGACTGAGTCTTGCTGCATAGCCCAGACTAATCGGAAACTTGTGATTCTCCTGCTTCAGTCTCCTGAGGCCTGGGATTACAAGTATTATGTCATCTGGCTCCACCCTGTAGATTTGTAACTAAAGATCTCAGGATAGTCCCCATTGGTGGCCTGCAGTCTGGAAGGTATTGGTTGACTAGAATGACACCAGCATCTTACTTGGACAGATAGCAGTGTAACACATGCATCCATCCTTGGGTACAGAATCCTTAGGGAAAGTAAAGGTCAACTAGATTTTGTGAATTGGCCTGCTCTGTCAAGTCAACCATGTGACTAAAATCTCATCTCCTGGCTTCTCTCCAATGAACACTATCAGCATTATTAATCTGCTACCTATTGAAATTCCACTCTAGATAGGCTCAGGAACTAACTTATCTCAGTTGTATTACTGTACCCTCTCAGGTTCAGAATTCATTTGCTCAAGTTTCTACTAAAAATGCCCAAATATATCCAGAAATTGATGAGTATTCCTGAGATCATCTTTAGATATGATTGCCAGTGATAAGCATTTCTGTTAGCACTATTTTACTTAGATTAGAAATGTGATCCCTAGGGCTGCGAAGGTGGCTCAGTGGTAAAGCGCTTGCCTTGCATGCATGAGGCCCTGGATTCGATTCCACAGCACCATATAAGCAGAAAAAGCCGACAGTGGTGCTAGGGCTCAAGTGGTAGAGCGCTAGCTTTGAGCTGAAGAGCTGAGGGGCAGCGCCCAGGCCTGGAGTTCAGACCCCACAACCGACCCCCCCCCCAAAAAAAAAAGTGATCACTTAATCTCAATAAAGAAATTTTTAAAAAAATGTATTATTGGCTATTTACCTGAAATTCAAATTCAACTAGAGGCCTTTAAAAAAAAAAAGGACACATCTGGCAAGCCTAGCTTTGAAGTATCTGGGAAAAGTGGAAGCAGGTTCCTCCCTGTTATGCCCTCTGCCTTTGTTGGCTTTTATTTTTATCTTTATGCGCGGTCATTAAGGCGGTTTTAGGAGGGCAGAGAGCACTCGTACCAGACTCCTGCCCTTCACCAACATGTCTGTCAACAGGCCGTCACAAGGAACTTCCGCCCCACTCAGACATGGCCTCCCACAGCCTCCGACGATTGGCTCCTGTCGCTCTCCTGGCCCCGCCCTCGGAGACTGGAAGCCCTTTTCATTGGGCGGTTATACAAGATGGCGGAACACTGCCCCCGCCGATCCTCGTGCGCTAGGCTCGTGGGTCGGGGGCGGGGCCACAGCGACGGTCTGGAGCATGGACTCTGATGATTGGCGGAGAGCGGCAGCTGAGCCCTCACGTGGTTGGGGACGCATTTATTTGCGGAAGTAGGAGGAAGTACCAGGGCTGAGCCAGCCGAGGTGAGTGACGGCGGAGGGGGGGCGGGGCCTAGGTGGCCTTCCCAAAGCCGGCTCCCCTCGACCGGATGTCTCTGCTCGGGCCCTACTTTGTGCCTTGCTGGTGTCTCCGGTTCTGAGGCAGGTCCTCCGTGACCCCTGTGTACCCCTTGCTCCTGTCCTGACCTCTCCCCCAGCGTCCCCAACTCCCATCCCGTGACCGCTGTGTCCCCCCTCCACCTCCCCCCGCCAGGCCCAGCCTGGGCGGTCTTTCCCCAGTACCCCTCGGTCCCCCCACTTCCCAGACCAGCCTTCACCTGGGACCCGCTGCTTCTGCCCGGGCCGCGCACCCCGCCCGCTGGGCCCCGTGTTTAACCCATGCCTCCGCTTGCCGTCTGCGGTGTGGCCTCCACGTGCCCCCCCCACCTTCGGCCACCCCGGCGGCCCCCAGCCCCAGCCTGGCCCCTCTGTTCCCACAGATAGCTTGGACGCTGGCGACGACCCGAGCGAGTGACCCGGTAACCGCACGGCTGGGCCGGGGCGCGGGTGGGGGACAGGGAGGGCGCAGCCCTGGGTTCTGTGCCCTTCCTTTTTTTTTTTTAATGGGCTTCCCACATGACCCCAAACAAATAGCTCCCCCTCCTCCCTCCCGCTAAGCTCCGGGACCTTTCCCTCCCCTGCCCTCTTACCAGCCCTGCAGGATGTTTGGCAGGTTTGGCTTGGCCCGAGCTGTGTTGGTATTGTCTTTGCCTTAGAATCTTCCTGGAGTTCGGAGGCTATTTTGTGTCCAAGTCTCAGTTTCCTCATCTGTGACAGGGGAACTGTTTCCTGCCCACTCAGGTGCCTTGAGGTTCGGTAGAGAAAAATGTACAAGGTTAAACGTTGATGACCGGACGGGGACCTGCACACATACATGCAGGGCTTGGTTGCTAAGTCACAGGCAAGACAGAAAGGAATGGAAACAGAAAGGATGATGGGATGAGGAGAGAAAGACATGGTTTCATCTTTCATTTGATTGTTTATTCATTAATTGCATCCCATAAATCAGGCTTCAGAGTTTGTTTTGCTAGTCCTGGGGTTTGAACTCAGGGCCTGGGCACTGTCCTGGGGTTCTTTTGCTTAAGGCTAGCACTCTACCACTTGAGCCACAGGGCCACTTCTGGCTTTTTCTGTGTATATGGTACTGAGGAATCCAACCCCAGACTTCATACATGCTAAGGCAAGCACTCTACCACTAGGCCACATTCCCAGCCCTAGGTTCTTTTCTGGACTGGACAGTATTCGTGTTCACTTTCAAGGCTTCCAAGCTTGCTAGGCAGGTGCTCTACCACTGGGCCACACTTCCAGCCTTTTTTTTTTTTTTAGTCATGGGGTCTGAACTCTGAGCCTGGGTGCTGTCCCTCAGCTCTTCAGCTTAAAGTGAACGCTCTGTCACTTGAGCCATAGTGCTGCTTCTGGTTTTCTTATAGTTTATTGGAGATAAACGTCTCACAGACTTTCCTTGCCAGGCTGGCTTTGAACTGGGATCCTCAAATCTCAGCCTCCTGAGTAGTTAGGTTTACAGGTGTGAGCCACGGTCACCCGGCTTCCAGCCTTTTTTTAAAAACTGATTTATTTATTTGTTTGCTTGTTTATTTATATCGGTCATGAGGCCTGAACTCTGGGCCTGGGCACTGTCGCTCAGCTCTTCAGCTCAAGGCTAGCACTCTACCACTTGAGCCACATTGCCACTTCCAGCTTTTTCTGCTTATGTGGTGCTGAGGAATTGAACCCAGGGCCTCATGCATGCAAGGCCAGCACTCTACCACTGAGCCACCTTCCCAGCCCCTGATTATTTTTGAAATATGCTCTCACTTTCTTTCCCCCTCAGTAAGATGAGCCACTGGAGCCAGGTAGACTCTTTTATGTTTGTTGTTTCTATTATTCATCCTTTTTTTTTTTTAACCAGTACTGCATCTTGAACTTAGACCTTGCACTCTTGCTTGGTTTGGCTTGTTTTACTCAGGCTTGCACTCTACTACTTGAACAACGGCTCTACCTCTTCCTTTTTGCTGGTTAATTGAAGATAAGAGTCGTAGACTTTTCTGCCCAGTCTTTCTTTGAAATATGATTCTCAGCTCTCAGCCTCCCAAGTAGCTAGGATTACAGACATGAGGCACTGGTGCCTAGTGAGATAGTCTTACGTGTTTTTTTGTCCTTTGGGCCATCTGAGTTCATTGTGATGTCAGCCTCCCAAGCTAAGTTTGCAGGTGTGAGCCACTTTGCCTGACAGGCTCTTTTGAATTAGTTATTTTTACTGCTCATTCATTTTTCATTGAACAAGTATTAATTGGCTCTAACGTTCTTGGCTACTCTTGACATAGCCAGTGTTATCCCCTTTAACAGGAGGAGGAGGAATTACTTGTCTAAGGTACAGCTGATGCAGTTGGAGCCGAATGGTGTAGAGGGTCCTTAGTTTAAAAGTTTGATTGGATGTTTGGACCTGACAGTGGTGCGGAGAGGCCCTGAACTTGGCAGAAACCTAACTTAGGATATTCAGTTTGGATTTTTTTCTGAGCTTACCATTACGACTTGATTTTCTCCATACTGGGCAGTGATAGTTGCCGTGCCCAGTTGGTAGGCAAGGAATAGTTAATGCCTTATGTTAGGACACTTTCTCCTTTTCCTTTTTTTTTTTGGTTGTAGAGGTTAAACTCTGGGCCTGGGTGCTGTACCTGAGCTCTTTTGCTCAAGGCTAGTGCTCTACCACAGTACCACTTCTGGTTTTCTGTTGGTTTTTTGAAGATAAGAGTCTCTGGGACTTTCCTGCCCAGGCTGGCTTTAAACTGTGATCCTCAGATCTCAGCTGCCTGAGTAGCTAGGATTACAGGCGTGAGCCACCAGCGACCAGTTATGTCATGAGTACTGTACATTGTGACAGGCACTGGAGCTTGTGTGACAGTTCTACCGCACTTATGGTTTTCCATGTTCAGAGTGTTTGTTTCTCCCTACTCTTTTGAATATTCTAGAAAGGGGTTTTCTTTTCATTCAGCAGAATGATGTGACAAAGAAGTACAGAAAGGAGGAATCTATGCACTGTGTGTAGGTGCATGCACACATGCATATACATACACCTGCTCTGGGTCTGTATTTATAGAGGGCGTCTCCCTGGGAGAGCAGGGTCTTTGTCTTTTGTAGGTGGATTTTACAGGGCAGTGCCTTAAATGCTGCAGTCTGATCCAGCCGCATTTGCTGGTGATCTCATTCAGTTCTTAGATGTTCATTTAGCGATTTGCAGTCCTTTTGATTTGATACTAGAGATCAAACCCAGGGCCTTATGCATGCTAGGCAAGCACCCTGCCACTGAGCTAAGGCTGTGGCCCAATTTGACTCTCTGAGCCTGGGTGCTGTCCCTCAACTCTTCAACAAAAGCCTAGTGCTCTACCACTTGAGCCTCAGCGCCACTTCCGGTTTGTTGGAGATAAGAGTCTCATGGACTTTCCTGCCAGGCTGGCTTTGAGCCACAATCCTCAGATCTCAGCCTCCTTAGTAGCTAGGCTTATAGACGTGATCTACCGGCACCTGGCTACTCTCAATTTTTTTTTTTTTGGTCGGTCGTGGGGCTTGAACTCTGGGCCTGCGCACTGTCCCTGTGCTCTTCAGCTCAAGGGGAGCACTCTACCACTTGAGCCACAGCGCCACTTTGGTTTTCTAGTGGTTTATTGGAGATAAGAGTCTCATGGACTTTCCTGCCCAGGCTGGCTTTGAACCACAATCCTCAGATCTCAGCCTCCTGAGTAGCTAGGATTACAGACGTGAGCCACTGGCGCCTGGCTACTCTCAAATTTTTATCTCCAGTCCAGTTTAGACCTGTCCTCCAGATGACAGATTCATAAATCTAGTTGTTCACTCAGGCCCTCAGACTTGCACATTTCAAATGTACAAATATTAAAAAATGAGCTCCTGCAGGGAGCTGGTGGCTTACACCTGTAATCCTAGCTACTCCAGAGGCTGAGATCTAGGGATTGCTATTCAAAGCCATCCTGGGCAGAAAAGTCCCTGTGAGGCTCTTACCTCCAATTAGTCACTCAAAAACCAGCAATGGAGCTATAGCTGAAAGTGGTAGAGCGTTAACCTCAAGCAGAAGAGCTCAGGGACAGAGGCCAGGCCCTGGGTTCAAGCCCCACGGCTGACTAAAGCAAGAGCAACAACAGAACAAAACAAAAACCAAAGCAGTCTGTGAGCCCAGCTCACTCTTACTAAAAAAAAATTTCAGCATTTTTATAGAGGGGTTAGTTACATAAGTTAGGACAATCTGACCCCCCTCCCACTTTTGTTCCCATTTTCAGAAATGACAGTAATACTCTTTTATTTGCTCAGACCAAAATTGCAAGGTGATGATTATTTTGTTGGTACTGGGATCTTGAATTCAAGGCCTCTCATTTGCTAAGCCAGTGTTCTACCACTTGAGCTACACTTCCAGCCCCCTTTTTACTTTGGTTATTTTTTTTTTTTTTTTTGCTTTGGTTATTTTTATGATAAGTTCTGGCTTTATGCCTTTGCTAACCTGGACTATGTTCCTCTTATTTGTACTTCGTTTTGCTACTGGAATGGTAAGCATGTACCACTCTTCTCGGGCATTGGTTGAGATGGAGTCTCATGGACTTTTTTTGTCCAGGATGACAAACCACAATGGCCCTGTTTTTGCCTCTGACGTAGCAAGGATTGCAAGCTTAAGCTTCTGAACATGGAACTACTGGGTTTGAACTCACAAACCTATGCTTGCTAGGGAAGTACTCTACTTGAGTCATACCTCTAGCACTTTTTGCTTTAAAGTTTATTTTTCAGATAGGGCCTCATACCTTTTGCTTAGACTGGCCTTGACCAAGATCCTGTGACTTAGGCCTCCTGTGTAGCTGGGATTACAGGTGTGAGCTGCTTCACCCAGCTGTGAGTTTATTCTTGATGCCTGTCTTCCATATTGCACACTAGCCAGTGTTACCTGTTAAAGTGTCACTCCTTTGTTCCAAGCCCTGCAGTGGCTGCTCTTAGTGCACAAGATCTGATCTCACTGGCTTCCATGCTGTCTCTGGACTCACCTGGCTTGGTCCAGCCCCACGTCCTTTGCACTTGCTCTTCCCTCTGCCTAGAAAACCAAAGTG